TACCGAGTTGCGTTCCATTGTGGCTAGTATGCTAAGGATTTTTCGGGTGTTGTCTGAGCCTTGGCGTCCCCTCACAAACCCAGTTTGGTCATTGTGTACCAAACTGTTTAATACAGGAGTAAGTCGGTTGCTTAGTATTTTCGCGTACAGTTTGGCGTCGCTGTTGAGGAGGGATATGGGCCGAAAGTTTTTACATACAGTAGGGGGTTTACCAGGTTTGGGTAGGGTAGTAATGTGGGCTAGTAGCATTTCTGCTGGCAATGTTCCCTGTCCTGCGCAGTGTTGAAAGAGGTTCGTTAGGTGTGGGGTTAGTAGTCCGGATAACTTTTTGTAATATTTATTAGGTAGGGCATCGGGTCCCGGTGTTTTGTGTGGGGGGAGGTCAGCTATAGCTTTATTTATTTCGTCGGGGGATATTGGATGGCGGAGTTTGTTAATGTCAGCTGCTGATAGGGAAGGCAGTTGGACATCCGTTAAGTATCTATCGATATCTTCGTGTGTAGGGACCCTCACCCCCCCATCTGCTTTTAGATTGTACAGGTTGTGGTAATAATCTGAGAATTCATTTACAATTTTTTGTGGGTCTATGATTTTCTGACCTCTACTATTGTTCAGGAAGGCAATCCTGGAGGCGGCAGATCGTTGTTTGAGTTGAGAAGCCAATTTTGCTCCTGCTCTGTTGCCGAATGCAAAAAATTTGTGTTTGTTTTTTTGCAGTAGGTATGTGGTTTTGGCTAGTTCAAAATCTCGTAGTTTGGAATGTGCCTGGTGCAGGGCAGTTTGTATGCTAGGTGACGGTGTATGTTTATTCCTGTGAGTCAATGACGTTATGTCTGCAATGATTTGTAAGTATTGTGCTTGGCGAGTTTTTTTGGCGTGGCTCGCGTGTTTTATGAAGCTGCCTCTTATTACAGCTTTGTGTGCTAACCAAATTGATTCCGGTGTTGTGTTGCTTTGTACATTGTCTGCAAAATAGTGTTGGAGGTCTGTGGTGATGTGGGAGACTATTACCGGATCATTGAGAAGGGTCTCGTTCAGTCTCCAGGTGGTGCGGCCAGCGGAGGGGAATTGTTCTGATAATGTCAGTGTGATTGGGGCATGGTCAGACCATGTGATATTGCCAATGTTTGTGTGAGATACTCTCTCTAGGGACGAGTATTTGATTAGGAATCTGTCAATTCTTGAGTAGCTATTGTGTGCTGCAGTGTAGCAGGTATAGTCTATGTCCGTCGGGTGCGAAATCCTCCATGGGTCGACATAATTATGTGTCATTAGTGTTTGGCAGATGGTGGATGACAGTGTGAGTCGTTTTTTTGATGTAGTTGTATTTACCGTTCTAGAAGCGGATGAGTCCATATATGCATCTAAGAGAAAATTGGTGTCGCCTCCAATGATTACCTCCCCAAAACTGTACATTGATAAGAGAGAGAAAACATCATCAATAAACATAACCTGGTTGTCATTTGGGCTGTAGATGTTCACTAACGTATACGGTTGATTGTTAATGTGACATTGTATGATAAGGTACCTGCCTTTTTTATCTCCAATTTTGCGTATTAATTCAAAGGAAACATTTTTGCTTATTAGTGTCAACACTCCTCTTTTTTTGGTATGATAGCATGTATGATAATCTATCGGAAACCAGGGGGAGTTGAATCTGGGTTTAGCTCTCCATTTGAAGTGGGTTTCCTGGAAGAAAGCCACTTGTGCGTTCTGCCTCTTAGCTTCTAGTAAAGCTAGCCTACGCTTGTTGGGTGAGTTCAGCCCTTTGGTATTGAGGGAGAGGATTTTTAACGGCATTATGCCTACCTTGCGGTTTGGGGGGTAGATGGGGTGTTGAGTCAGTCAGGGGGGGGATCTCTTACTCTGGTCGCCTATTACCTTGGCTGCCAGGTATAGATTCGAATGGGTCGGCAAAGAGGGGGGAGGAGTGGGGTCAAACAAACTATATACAGGTTCCCGTTGGCCCTTGGGGCTAAGTGCATAAAATTGCACACAGGTATATGTTGGCCTAGCTTGTAAGTCGTGTGGGGGGTGGTGGTGAATTCTAAAGCGTATATGAGTAGAGTTGTAATTCTAGTGGTACTTCTCTACCGCTCGAGGGCCTATCGTTGTGTTCTTATAACTGTGTCTATTTGGAGTGGAACAATGCAATAGTAAACATATATTACACATAAATACAATAAAGCCATTGTGGATGAAGATATTACGTGTCCCGCTGTTGTCAGAGGAAAGTCTTAGGTACGGGGTGTTCGGCGGGTCTGCGGATCTGTGGCGTTCCATGGAACCTGTTGCCAGTCTCTCGCCATTTTACGTGGCGGTGGGGTGCCTTCTCTTTGTTTATCAGTTATTGGGATTGGTATGTTCCAATCTTCTAGGGCCTTCAGACCATCTTCTGGGGTGAGGATTATTCGGTTCGCTCCGTTTTTGTTCACTAACAATTTAGCTGGGAATCCCCATCTGTATAAGATATTGGCCTTGCGCAAGGCCGCAGTAATGTGTGCAAACGTTCGCCTCTTGTACATGGTGGCCGCCGACAGATCAATGAAAAGCTTAATATCTGCATAGTCACCTGGAAGGGTTTGTTCTAGCCTGGACGCCTGCATTATCCGGTCTTTGACCGTGAAGTAATGTATTTTTGCGATCACGTCTCTAGGGGTGGTAGCAGGTAGATGTCGAGGTTTAGGCAGTCTGTGTATTCTGTCCAGACGAAGATCCGGTTCTTCTAGGGCTGGGATCAAGGTTTTGAACAGCTTTTGGGCATATTGAGCGAGGTCTTGTGGCCCTATGCTTTCAGGTATGCCTCGGAGTCTGATATTGTTTCTCCGGTCACGATCTTCATTATCAGCTATCTTCCCTTCCAGAAACCTGACTTTGTCTGCCAGAGCTGTATGTGCATCAGATAAATCGTTATGTGCGTCTATTAGGCCTTCCGTCTTCTCCTCCAGGTGAGCCGTTCTGTCTCCTAGGGCCTGAATGTCAGCCCTAATGTCCGACGCCATTTTTAGGAAGTCTGAACGTAGGTCTGCTTTTAAGTTTTGCAGCATGTTGCTTACTGAGGCATCGGTGGCTGGATGCATTGTTGCACTGTAGGAACTACTCCGGCTGTCATCAGCGTCGGGTTCGTGCGGGGGTGATCTCGGTTCCCCTCCGCCATCTTGGACTCGCGGGCATGCCATGTGCTGTGCGTGGAGCAAGGAATCCATCGTTTTCTGTTTCATTTTTTTGTGGGATTTGGTCGACATGGTTTTCACTGTGTGTTTGTCGGCAAGTCCGGCCAGTTTTGTGTGGGGGTAATGCTGTGTGCTTCGCTGCTGGGCCCTCGCTTCCATGCGCCCTTGGCCACGCCCCCCGATTATTCCTATATTTTAAATCCTAGAAGTTCACAAATGAACATTTATAGCAATAATTTGTGAATACCTAAATGGCAATTTTGGACGTTAGGGTATTTTCATAAAATTTGCTATGTTATATACATCTTGACCTAAGAAAATAACCACATCACAGTTGGCTAATTTCAGCAATGTCATGCTGTAGGACAGTGATGGCGAACCTTTTTGAGCCCGAGTGCCCGAACCGCAATACATGCCAACTTTTTTTTCCTCAAAGTGCCAACACGGCAATTAAACCTGAATACTGAGGTTTAAATTTAGAAAAAAACAACTTGTACAGTTTTGCGAACTAATTAACATATTTTGTTTTAAAAGAAGAAGTCAACAGAGAGTTTTATGATACAAATTTTAAATAATGATATAAATTAAGTTTATATTTATTAGTATCTCCAACGATTGCAATACATACACACAGACTGCTTAATACATACACACACCGAAAGACACAGACAGACTGCTAAATACACACACACACACAGACAGACTGCTTAATACAC